AATTCCCCAGCCAGCATGGCTGGCTGGGGAATTCTGGGAGTTGAAGTCCACACAGCTTAAAAGTTGCCTAGGTTGAAAAACACTGCCGTAGATTAACACAGCTCTCTTCCCACAATGCCTTTCAGACACAAAGCAGACACTCCTGCCTACTATGTATTAAAACCATGGAAGGATTCCCATAACACTGAACCACAAATGTCTCCACCCCATGTTAGCCCAGTCAAGCATGTCATCCAAGTCCAGCAGGTGTGATGAGTAGCATGCACCCCTGGGTAACGTGAAGTTCAGTTAACTGTGGCTTAGTATGCTATGTGAAGGCAGCTATTCTTTTCTGAGGACTAGTGCAAAAACTCCCCATCTGGAAGCCACCAGCTCTCTAAGTTTAGCCACACACCCTAAACGCCGCACTGCTCTGGGTTGACCACTCATCATTTTTCCAGCTTTGAATCACCTTTCCTGAGCTGGGTGTAGGATCATGATCTGAGGTTTTGCCTAGGCCAGCTTTTCCCATCACAATGTCCTTGAGGTGTGCTGGGCTCCTGGGCCTCCCCGGTCCTAGTCATTACACTGCATTGAATCTCAGGGTGCTAGACAACCCAGGAACCCAAGAAGAATGGAACAAACCTTCGTACCTGCATGAAAGCCAACCACAATATCTGGTCGAGCCGCTTGCTGATTCTCCACCTGTGATTCCCAGAAGTTGTGGTAAAGGTCCTTGTAGCTGCTCAGGTAGACCCTTTCCCGGGGTCCAAAGGCCACCAGCGGAGGTCTCATGATGGGTCCGTCTACCACATCTACCCCCACCATTACCACCTCCATGCCCTGGTGCTTTGGAAACATCCGGGACAGCTCATCATAATCTGTCACCCGAGCATTGAGAGTCTCAACGTGAGAAGCTCCAACTACATGCACTGTGAGTGGTTTGGCATAGGGATCCAGATGGAACATGCTCAAACCAAAGCCAATGGTGGCCGGCCGGGAGACAAAGTCTGTGGTCACCCTCTTGATTGACTCAGTCAACTCCTCCTCGTTGGGCTTTGGTTTGCCCACATTGGCCCAGAGGATGCTCATATAATGCCCCGTCTTGATCACGTTCAGCTTTTCATCCAGATTTTCCTGCATCAAGAACCAGTCTTCCCAGCCCTGCAGGTCCTGGATATTTTTTGTCCAGGGTCTTGTGAGGAAAGGGATGTCACCTATAGGGAGACAATGAGAATTTAGCAGAATCTTAGACTCCTAGAATTGAAAGAGGTTGTGGAGACTATCAAGTCCAACCTTCTAGATCGGTGCATGGAGCATCTACAGGGAGGCCAAAGAAGTAATGCAACCACATGATTGAAGTCCTCCCCAGCTGCTTCAACTACATGGTTGTGGCTGCCTTCTTGACTTTCTTTTACACCCTTCCCCTCCCCCCAGGCCCCTGCTGGGGAGCCTTTCTGATAGAGGAGGCCTTCAAACAGAACTGTGTCCTCTGAAACCCCTTCAGATGGACAACAGCCAAATGAATCTCAGGCTACCTGTGAACACAAGCCATTCTATAAGTCGGTCAAGGGCTGCCAGCTTCAGCTTCTTGCAGAATTTTTTGTGGATGGGCCAGTTCAACCGTTGGCAATCGGGGCCACAGTAATAGATGTTCTGACATCTAGAAACAGAAGGACAACAATTTACAAACCCTAGATTTGCAAGTTAGGTGCTGTGTTTGACTTCTAATGACTCTAAGGATGAACATCCGCTATCCTGGCTCCTCGTTCTTCCAAGGATATCTCGTTATCTCTTTGACTGCACCCATCTCCCTTAGCCATTGTCTTTCTTCTACATTTTTTAATCTTGCCTGGCATCATCAGGAACGTTTTATTGTGGGGGGAGGTGTCCACATGATTCACACCCAGTACATGTGAGGTTTTGCCTGCTGGTCAAAAGGTGTCTTCAAATTATGGTTTGGGGGACACTCCAAAGAATCCATCAGGCTAAATGAAGTCTGCCTGCTCTGTTGATTTAATTTTCAAAACCCAAGAGTTCTGCTCGGGACAAAAGGAAGCGAGTGCCACTGAACTTTATAAATAGCATGGTCCCTCATTGCCAAGAAATCAACTGGGAGAATGTTCCCAGAGAAGAAGATGTGATTTCTGACAATCTTGAGCCGGGGACCAACAATTGTGTCAACCTTACTCCTTCCTTTCTAAAACATCTTTGCTTTTAGCGGAGAGACACGGTTGCCTAGCAATAGACACATAAGGCTTGAAATATGCATCTTGTATTTATTTTGGCTACGTTTTATTATTCCGACCACCTGTTCTGTGTTGACCCTCCCAATGAGGCAGTTTCCACTACCAAAATTTAATCATTGTCACTGACTGCAAAGAAAAGGCTGTGGTTACCTGTTGGCTATTGTTACATTGCTGGATCAAGCCAAACGTCCAGTACAAACTAACCCACCTACTTCAGGGGTTGTTGTGGGGAAAATTGGAGGAGTGGGGCACCATGGGGGTGGTCTTGAGGTCCTGAGACAAAGCCAGGGTGTCATCCTAACAGATGGATCAAACGCCTTCACTTCTGCACTAGCAACTTGACAGCAATGTCTAAAATCAAAACTTGCACTCGTTTTTCCAAAGCTCTCACTGCAGTCTTGCATAAATTCATTTAATTAATGATTCTGCTGGTGAAAAATGTGTTGAAGGCGGATGGAGGGAAAAAGGTCCATGATTTACCTTTTGCAGCGCCGTAGGCTTTTAGGGTCAGGTAGCGAATCTGGAAGTTTCTTGCACTCGACGCAGAATTTGAACGTGTCTTCCATTTTCTGAAACATCTCGAAGTAGGATCGGATGCCAAAATCTGTGCAGGGAGTCTTGCCCTCCAGTGCAGATCTAGAAGGAAGCAGTCCAAGCCAAAAAAATGCTGAAGAACAACCATCCTACATAAAGCCAGAGGAATGTTCCTGAGGTCCCAGAATACCCGTGGCCCTGATAAGTTGGAGGGGGGCTCCAAGAGACCTTCAAAGATTGTTAAAAGGTGTTGCTTCTGATGCAATTGAATAGAAAAAAACATTAAATGCATGTCTGGCCAGTAGTCATACTATTGATGTTTGATTTTAATATGAATGAAGTTAACTCAAATGTCATTTTTGTCCTTCCCTTACTAGCTTTTTCTGGAAGTTGGGCTGGCTGGGGAATTCTGGGAGTTGAAGTCCACACCTCTTAAAGTTGCCAAGGTTGAGAAACACTGAACTAGATAATGTGTATGATGTAACTACTGTATAGTTACACCTGGATTTACTGAAATGGATGAGCCCAGCTAGACTCAGCTGCCCATGGCCCAGGTTTGCCACTTGAAGATTTTGGCTAGTCAACCTGCCTTTTGACTTCCTGCAGTCAGTTTGGGTAGAGAATAAGGAAGATATAATAAATATAATTATCTTTATTCTTTTCTTGGACTCTCCTTCCCCTTGTTAGTAATGTTTTTAACTGATTTTTATGTATTTATATATATTTAG